AGGATATCAAACGAACAGCAAAACCCAGCAACAGAAGCAAAAAACGGGGAAAGGTCACTCGATAACGGTGAGGAATGTCCGCCGGTCGAGTTGACCGAAAAACCATTAACGAACCTCGAGAGAATAGAAAAGTCAAAATCAGACGAAGAAAGGCCAAACTCCGATCAATCAGAAAGGTCACCAATGAGAATCCGGGTAGCGAGGAGTCACCCGAGAATCGCTGCACGAAATGGAAGAAAAGCAAAGGAAGCGGACAAACCTCTGCTCAAAAATTTAAAAACGAAAAAACTTAGCGATTCACGGAAAATGAAAGTGACCTTTCATCAGAAGATGAAGAGTTGATGAACGTCCACTTGAAAAGCTGACAAAGGTCAAGCTACTGCACAAGAATACGAGAGCAGTGATTCGGACTCAGAATGGACGAGTTCAAGCGATAACTCAACGACTTCAGAAGATTCAGGCGTAAGTGACCTTTCAGAACAAGAGGACTTACTGGATTTGGATGAAGACGACGAGGTGGATGAAGAAAAAGAAAAGGATATTAAAGTCAGAAGATTGAAAGTGGAAAAGGCTAGAATGTCGAAAGATGTGATCAAAGTCTACAGTGATCAAAGAATCAAATTGAAACCGTCAAACTGCACACGGGTAGAGGTCAAGATGGGAAAATATGCACCGGCTCAGAACAAGTTGATGTTTACACCGGTCCCACAAGTGGAAACTGAAGTGCAACCGTTGGCAGGAGTGACGGATCACAGGGGAAAATACTTTGAAATCGTCATTGCGAATCACAGTAGCAAATACCGAGTCGTGAAGAAAAATCAGCTTCTCGGATATGTTGAGCCGTATGAACACATGGAAAATGTAAAGGTCAATGCTGGGACAGTAAAGAACGTACTCGAAGACCCAGAAGTGGATGATACAACCAAAGCTGAATTGACAAAAATAATTGGAAATTTGAAGCTAGGACCTGATCTAACTGAAGAACAAAAGAACGACGTGTATAACGCGTTCTGGGAATTCTGGAAAGTCTTACCGACGTCAAAGAAACCGTACGAAGATGTGAAAGGGGTCACTCACGTTATCGATACGGGAGACGCGAAACCAGTCAAATGTAATCCGGCCAGAACGAGTTGGACAGGCCGTGAATTCATTACAAAGCATATAGAAGAGATGTTGGCACAGGACGTGATCGAACCGTCAGACGCCGAGTGGAGCTTTCCAGTCGTGCTGGCTGTGAAAAAGAACGGCGACGGAACGATGGGAACAAGATTTTGCGTCAACTACATTATGCTGAATAAGTTGACGAGGAAGAATAACTACCCGTTACCGAATCCGGACGAGTTGCTTGATGCGTGTGCAGGCAACAAATACTATGGAAAAATGGACATACAAAGTGGATTCTGGCAGATCCCAATGGATCCAGCGTCAATCAACAAGACGACCTTTGTAACGCAAGATGGAATGTATCGATTTAAAAGAATGCCATTTGGAGTTTGTAATGGACCAGCAACATTCCAATTGTGCATGGATAAAGTACTGTCGAAAGCGAAAAGAAAGGGTTGCGTTTTCGGGTACATTGACGACGTGATTTTCGCCGGAAAAACTTGGGCGATCTTCATGCAGAATTTGAGAAACGTCTTAATGAGTCTAGTCGAAGCGGGATTCACGATCAAACCGACCAAATGCGAATTCGGAATGAGACAAATGGGATTCCTGGGACATATCCTTAGTGAAGATGGAATTCGAATGGATCCTGAAAAGGTCACCGCAGTCTCAGAATTTAAACGACCTCAAACAGAACGACAGTTAAGGTCATTCCTTGGACTGGCGAATTACTACCGCAAGTTCATAATGGGATATGCACAGAAGACTTGCCATTTGTATGAGCTGTTGAGACAAGACAAACAAGTAAAGAAAGACTGGACAAAGGTACACGAAGATGAATTCAACAGTTTGAAACAACTCTTGTGTGAAGGCCCAGTATTGGCAAAGTTTGACCCCGCGAAACCGACCGTTATTGAATGTGACGCAAGCAAAGAAGGAATTGGAGCAGTGTTGTCACAGGACGGACATCCGATTGCATACGCGAGTCGCGTGTTACATGGAGCTGAAAGAAATTACGGCGCAACGGAATGGGAATGTCTGGCGGTAGTGTTTGCCGTCAGAAAATTCAAGCCGTTTATTGATTATGCGGAATTCACCGTAAGAACGGATCACCAGGCGCTGACCAACCTATTGAGGTCGGAAACGAATAAAGTTGGAATGAACCCGCGTTTGACCAGATGGGCAATGGCGCTGCAAGGTCACCAGTTCAAAATCGAGTATAAGCCGGGAAAGTATTGTGACAATGCGGACGCGTTATCAAGAGCGCCGATCGAAGGGCCAACGTGTCACGAGGAAGAATTTGATGAAATCCCAAACTTCGAGGACTACAAGAAGGAGTTTGACACGAAAGAACCAGCAATTGAAATTGGACAGTTGTTCCTGCAGATGGTGGAACAGAGGGAAAAACGATTAAAGGTCACCTCAGCTACGGCGAGTGAGTCGGCTGAAACGGAAGCAAAAGTGAACCGAGTTAAAAGCTGGTTGCCTACCGTTAGTGACTTAAAGGTCACTGGACTTGATGCGAAATCTAAAACGCAGAATGAAAAGGTCACGGGACTTGATGAAGTAAAAGAGAATAAAGATGACCATTGGGAAACGGACAAAGTTACACAAGCGCTAAACGAATGTCCGATTAAGTTGTTGAGATTCCCAAAACAGATGAAAAAGAGATACAAACCGCTACCACGCTGCAAGGTCATCAAGGACTGGAATGAACTCAGCACAGCGACAGTCCGCATTGTCAACCTGCAAGGTGACGAGGAAGAGGAAGACGACTCGAACTTACAATTGCGCAATAAACAGTTGAAAGACCCCCATCTGGCAATGATAATAGATGAATTGGAACACCTACCAGATGCCGAAACGAGATCGAAATTTGAAGTTCATTACCAGTTATGGAACGGTATACTATACCGAGTAAAGGATAAAAATGGCAAACTTGAAAGGTCATATGTGGTGCCGTTGTCGATGCGAAGAGCAATAATCCACGCATTACACGACGAGAAAGCGGCAGGACACTTGGGATTTGAAAAGACATTGACAGCAATCCGACTGAGATATTATTGGGATAGGATGAGTACAGATGTAAAGAATTATATAACTGCCTGTCAGGGATGTCAGTTTCGTAAGACACCGAGGAAATGCCCACCCGGGAAATTGCAAGAGATAAAGGTCGGACATCCGTTCTTCCGGGTCTACGCGGATTTGAAAGGACCATTGCTACCGACGAAGAAACGTGGATACAAGTACATAGCGGTATTCATCGATCAGTTGACGAAATACGTGATTGCCGTACCAATGAAGACGGCTACAGCCAAAGAATTTGCCAAAGTATTCGTCAAACATGTGATATTGGTACATGGAGCGCCACACATCTTACACACGGATCGTGGACGGCACTTCACAGCTGAAGTTTTGGCAAAGGTCACCAATGTGTTTAAGATTAAACACACATTTGGAACAGCATATCACCCAGAAGGTCAAGGCCAAGTCGAAAGACAGATGCAGACGATTGCGGATGGCTTGGCGCAATACTTGAAAGCGGGAAACGAAAGGAAGTTCAACAAGTACCTCCCATATGTCATTTCGGCGATGAACAGAGTCGTACACGCCACGACCGGATATTCAGCATATTATATGCTGCACGGCAGAGAAATGACAATGCCGGAGGATGTCGTCACAAAAACGAACATCCCAGACGATTATGGGACCCCAGATGAATGGGTTGAGACTATGAAGAAGAACTTGACCTTTGCTGAGGAAGTGGCGAGATGCAACATTAAAGATGCTTACGAAAAGAATGCGGAAATTTACAACAAGAAGAAATCGGAGCCAAACTTCAAAGTCGGCGACCTGGTATTGATACGACTCCCAAAGGATACGAAACAAGGGAAGAAGGAAAACCAATCGGACTTTAAGTCAAAATACGATAAAGTATGGAAAATTCTTAGCTTCCCGCGAGCAAACGAAGCAGAGGTTATTGAACAGAACCCAAAGAAGGAAGCGGACTTAAAGGTCGTCTCAATCGACCGCCTGAAACCATGGCATCCACCATTGCCAGATGAAAAGTTGGAAGGCGATCTTCAAAAAGAGATGGAATCAGAGCGAAGTCCACAAAATGATTTGGATCCCCAACGTAAATCATTTTTCGAACCACCTCTGCTACCCGAAGAGGAAAAGCCGGAAGGAGACAAACCCAGTGAAGCCGAGCATGCTCCGAAAGATGGTATCAGTCAATTTTTCGATCCATGCTCTCTGCTACCTGACACAGGTGGAGATAAACCAAAAAAGAAGAGGGAAGACCGAGGAAAGAGGATAAAGATTTCGAGACAGCAGTTACAATAAAGTTGAACGCAGAAGCTGGGAATTTGGCAGAAAGGTCACCAGGAACTGAAGATGAAGTAGCCAAACGCGCTTCGCAAAAAGAACTCGAACCGAACCAAGATCCTTTTTTCGAACCACGCACTGCTACCGGAGACAAAGATGACCTTTCGAAACAGCGAACTGGCGCCGAGATATCAGAGCGCGATTCGAATTTTTTCGAACCACGCACTGCTACTGGCAATGAGAATGACCTCATAAAAAAGAGAAAGGAGGAGATAGAAGCGGTCAAATCGAAAGCTGAACAATTGGGCCGCGATATAGCGAAAGTCATTGAGGAGAGAAAGGTTAAACAGAAGAGAAAGAAATTGACCCCTACAGAATTGTTGACCCAGAAAGGCGAAGTGGAAGATGCGGCTGACAAAGAACTCCTTGATCGGATAACTAAAGGACGCAGAGAAAATTAACCCACATAAATACGAATAAGGGGTTTACCTCACTTAAAATAGGAGTTGGGAAGGTGTTAAAAGGTCACCACCGTTAAAAAGCTAACCAGTGTTGTTTCATTGTTACAGAAGGTAAGCTCAGTTAATGGATAGATTGGAACGACAGAATTCAGAGATTTCGGATTCGGAAAGTATCGGAAACCCATTAAAGACATCGACCCCAAAGAGAATGGAAGGCGAATATGAGTATGACACCTCATATGGTGAAGGGTCGACGTCGTCAGTCGGAACGGCACAGAACGAACCAGGCCAAGGAGGTTATTACGGCGGCCCGGGGTATTATGTGTATCACGATCCGGGACAGCCAACGAATTATCAAGACACGGTTAACTGGGTGCACCACGGCTTATCTGCCGGAACCCAGTATTCGGGACAAATAACGAGCGCCCCTTATCAATCGCATCCGGGATCGTATACCCCACTGATGGGACCACCGCAAGTGATGGGATCGGCAAGAATGTTGATGCCGCCACCGCAACAGACTACACCGAGCCGATTTATGGGACACGGAGGATTTGGCGGAATGTTAGCGACTCCAGTGCAGTCACAAAGGGCGTCGCCGATCTTGCCACCCTTCCCGGAAACAGGAGGTTTGTCACTATCGGACATTGGAGCACCGCGTTTGAGGACGCCACAGCAATTGGGAGCGCAAAGACCTCATCGGAACTCGCCACAAAAAGGAGGGAGGCGAGGAGGAAACCGGTTCGATTCACCACGACCGCGAGGCGTACTGCCGTCGCTGGGCCCAAATTTGGAGCAGGTCGGACCAGATGGTCTACGGGTAACGCCCCCGGGTGAACCAACGGTGCATGATTATTCACCGAAACTCCCGCTAGATATGAAAGACGATGATGCGCGATTAAACGTGATAGTGAGTACCGAAGAAGGATTGACAGCGGCTGATACAGCGGCCATCCAGGATTTCAACCGTATGTGCCGGGATCTTTATAGAATCCATATGCGAGTCGAGGACGAACATGCATTCTATGGAAGATTAATGAGCCTGGATGCGATCATTGAAGCAGTCCATATCGCCATGAAGGAAAAAACTAAAGTCATCGAGGTCAAACGTAAAGAGTTGGCGATCAGAATCGCCTCGATGAAACAGTACCATCCGGCCTTAACCAATAGAAATTGGCCACCGATGATCGAGAAGATACAGATATTCCTTAAGACGATTCCTAAAGAAAGGGGACACCTGACAAGCAGCGTGGCGGGCCCATCACAGGCATTAGTTCAAGCACCCGTAGAGGAGATGTCGGATAGCGTCCTCCTAGACGCGAAGCGAAAAATCGAGGCGGAACTCACCGAACGAGCAGAAAGGTCACGAGCCAGCTCTACTGCAGGGTCGATACGCGGACGTACTAGTTCGGTCACGGAGCCATCTAGCGGGACCGTGAAAAGCGGAAAAAGAGTAAGGTCACCGACGACAAGTCCAAAGGAAAGTGATAAGAAAGAGCAGCGGACGAAAAAGGTCACGACGAGTAAAGCACCGATCCCGGTGGGTAGAAAGAGTGCACCACCCACGCCGTCGGATCCAGAAGCTGTTTCAGTTCGATTCCCAAAATGTCGGACTTTTACAGTTAAGTACACCGGAACTGACCATAACGAACGAAAAGTCACCGCTCGGATAGTCGATAAAAGGACGAATAAGGAGATCGACTCGTACAATCCTCTAGCGGATAAATCAGTTAAAACCGAGATTGGGGAAAGGTCAAAGACAGAAGTCAATGAGGCCTTACAGTTCATTCCCCCGGAAGAGCGTCATAATCCGAGAGTTCTGATTCAGATGATGAAACACGTGGTGTCCAAAGTCGCGATTGAAGAAAATGCGTGGATCCGTATTAAAGTGGGCACAAATGACGACCACCTGGCATACACATACACAGTGGATGGGAAATTGCTGACGAAAGAGAGAGTTCGGCCAAAATCGACAGCAGATCCAGACCCGAATAAGCGAACATTGGACGATTACGAGTCGACCATGAAGTATACCGATGGAACGTGCAGAAAAGTGACATTGACAATCCACTTCGGCGATGGGACAACGGAGTGTATAACCGCGGTAATCGTTGACCCGATCACAGGAGATCCGATCCCATACGCTCCATGGGACGTGTCAGAAGAAAGCGCCGAGCACGCCAATCGGGCAGCACTTGAACAACTGTGGAATTTGATACCAGTAAGCGAACGTCAGGATCCTTTAGTTCAGGCGAATACGCTGATCAGTATGATGCGACATCGAGCGGAGATAGACGAAGCTCATTTCCGACTCACAAGAAAAATGGAAAACGGAGCGTACAAGACGGTGTTTTATGACGCAAAGAAAAACCCCTTATGGGAGATCGTCACACAGGGACAAACGAAAGAAACACCGCACTTGGAAGGTCAGGCCCTAGACCCGGCACAAGAAGGTGGAGCCGGAGAGATGGCAGAGGCCTCCGTAGCCGAAAAGGCAGGAACGGAGAGTACCCGGAGACCATCGGAACTGGACGAATCAGAAGAGGAGGAAGCTAACGATGATTCGGCAGAGGAACAGACCGACGAAGACGACGACAGGGCCGAGGAGCCCGAGGAAGATAAACAGCCTCCAAAAGTGGTCGTTAAACCGAGGAAAGCGGCTAAACTAGAAGAGGCCATGAACCGTGAGAAGGTCAAGAAAGGTGAATTCCTAAAGAAACGGAAGGAAGAAGAAGATAAGAAGAAAAAGAGTGGTGATGAAAGCGAGAGTACGAGCGCCCGGAAGAAAAAGGGAGACAGAAAGAAGAAAGACGAACCGTCGTCCCATGATGTCGAGATATTGAATGAATCAGTCGGTGAAGCGGAAGAAAGGTCATCCGTACCTATCATTCCTAAGAAATTTGTTATCGAATCGGCGACATCAAAATCAAAGGTCACCGAGCCTGAGCCGTCAACATCCAAAGGAAAGGTCATAGCTGTGAAACAAATTGTTCCAGTCGTCATCTCGGCATCTACTCCGAAAGAGCGTAGGGAAAAAGGAATGCGAGAAAAGGCAAAACGAGAGACGTCTCGTGAATCGGAAGCATCGGAAGTGAGCCTTCCAAGTACTTCGACGGTTAGTACGAGGTCACACATGGACCCGAAAACGATTAGACCCAGAACCGCGGAGCCAGGAAGCCTAGCGGAGGCTCTTGAGAGAGGGAAAAAAGCAAAGAGCGAACCGGCAAAGTTGAAAAAGAAAGGAAAAGAGGCCATGAAAATCGACGCATTGGCAATGGCCAATTACATCGAACCGGATGGAGAAAGTGAACTCGATTACTCGGGAGATGAAGCAGAATTCGAAGATCCAGACAGTGATAATATGACCACGATTGACGAAATTATTGATGCGTTCAATGGAGCGGAGAAGCACTTTACACGAGTAAGAACTACATCAGTAACGTCCAAATTCAGAACGGGTTTAAAGAAATACCTGAGGAAGGATAAACACCGTAGTTTTACCAAACAGAAATTCGATGTGGTATTGGAATACGCTCGGAATGCGGGGAAACTTCTCCAGAAACATCCGAATTTCGCGTATAAGGCTAAACTATTCAGACCGTCAAGCTCGGACAAGTCGCTGACGACTCCAAATGAAGACACCTCAATGCGAGTAGAAAGGGCAGTCGCGGGAATGACAAGCCCGTTGGGGTCAACGAGTCACCGGATCAGCCAATACATTAACGCCGTGTGGAATGACGGAAAGGGACTGATAAAGGAAATCGACACGGCCACTGAACGCGTGTTGCCCAGGATGATAAAACAGAACATCCTCTCTACAACAAACGCACATAAAGGTTACCCGATTCGATATACGAGAGTAGGCCTGATACCGCCGGAAAAACAAGTCCACTGTCATATGTCCGAGAGTCAGGAGATGGATAAGGTGCCATCGAGTGGAGATCTAACAACTCCCATACTGAATCGGATCGCGCAGTTAACAGCGGAGGAAGAAACAGTTCGGATTAAAGCACAAGCACCGAAAGTGTCGAAAAAGAAGGGACCCATGGATACTGAATCGGAAGAAAGTGACGATGACAAATCAGCCCAAACGCCTTTGGAACCGGCGACAGAAAAGCCTAAAGGTCAAGAGACATCTGGAACTGAGACGGAAGAAACTCAACCGAAAGGTCATGGGACTTCAGAAAAACGGGAGAAAGAAAAGGTCATGCTCCCAATGGACAAGGCAGCGGCAGAAGCAGAAGCTGCATCTGCGCGACAGGTGTACCAGAAATCATTGTTCACACCATTGAAGGAGGCTTTTGAGAAAGAGCGGCCGAAGTCAGCAGATGAAGTGGGAGGTCACGAGACTTTACCACAGAAGGAGAAAGCTGATGAACCGAAATCGGCACAGTCATCATCTGGTTCAATGGCGAGATTGAGGATTGACGAAATGGAGAGAACAGAAGCAACGGACTCGGCAATATCCCCCCAGAAAACGGAGAATAGCGGTACAAAAACGAAAGAGCCGACGGATTACACGTTAGGAGCACCGTTGGATGTTAATAACCGGACATGGAACGAAGTCCAGGCGGCGATTCAGATTACCAGAGAACACGAGATGCTTGGGACGGAACTGAAAAGACAAGTCGCCGAAAATTCTAAAGGAAGATCGTCACTCAGCATGAGTGAGCGAGTCCTGAAACGAGCGTATAAGGAAGGAAAGTTGGGATGCAAATATAACAAGGACAACAAAGTCATTTACTACCTACCGAAACAGGGCACGGACCGCACACCCAGACTTAAAATGGAGCTGGAGGCCTGGAAGATAGCCATCACAGATGTGGCTTTGGACGCCATTGGCGGTACCAATGGAGCTTCTTGGAATGACCTTTCGAACTTCATGGCCGTCCATTACGAACTGGGAGATTTGAACATTGAAAACGATAAAGAGTGGATCAAAAACGCCGTTGAAGCTCTGATCGCGGAGAATGCACTGCATATTAATAAGGACGGCCGAGTGGACTTCAAACCGTATAACCCGCCGGCGAAAGAGTCTGAGTGAATGGGACGAGTGTAATATGCAGCGAGTAATGAACCCTGCATATTACATAAAAAGCATAAAACAGTTAAAAACGAATGAGAAAAGTTTTACGGAAAAATGAAAGTGAAAAGTCAATTCGATTGATAAGACTAATAGAAAAGGTCACAGTAGTCAGAAAGTACTGATAACGTGAGAAAGGTCACCACGTTACAGTGATAGAGAGGGCAGCAGGAGCTAGGAAAGTCTCAGCTCAGTAACGGAATAGGCGTAAAAATGATAGAGAAGCCTTGATAATGGATAAGATGGAAAGATTAACGTGGAAAGGTTATTATGATGGATTGTTTTATGATTGCAGATTTAACAGAGGAAATGGCACAGAAAGGTCAAGCCAATCGGCGGAACCAGGGGACACTTCAAATGGATGTCGATCAGTCTACGGGCTATAACCCAAAGTGTCCGGACTGTTTAAGGAATAACAGAAAAGTTTGACAAGAAGTTCCCGTGCTACACATGTGTTCACAAGTTGGGGGACCCACACATCGTCTCACTCGTGGGACTTATGGAAGCTAAACGCGGGAACATGGATGTCTTTCGGAACCTCATCAGCGCGAGGAATTACGGCAGCATCCCAGTTGAAGAACGAATGCTACTGGAGGATCGTTACCGTGAAGCGATCCAGAATAACGAAAGCGGCTGGGACGAGACTTTGGAGCCGTTGAAATGCCCACAAACGGACGCATACCGGAAGAAATTTGAAGAGGATCAGGAAAAGATGCGTCGGCAACAGCTGGAGGACGAACTCCGGGCAAAGATTAATGCGGCGAATCAAAAGGCGAGCGAACAGGCCGCAAGAGAGGTGAGGCCAAAACCCTCGAGTTCAACTGTACCGACAGCCAGCCTCAACGAAGAAGAAGCGCAACTTACACGTCAGTCTCTTATCATCCAGATTGACACGCTGACGAGTGATCCGGCCGCTATGCAACAGGAACTATTTGATGCGCTGTTACGGGAGAAATGGAGACTACAGAAGGGTTTCGCCCCAGCACCGTACATAAAGAAGGCAATTGAAGAGCGTATGGAAGACCTGCGCAAATCCCGCCAGAACGAGAGTAATGTTCTACAGGCGCTCAGAGGATTCAGACGAGATGACGTGTTCACACGGCCCCGTTCCCCTCCGCATAGAGAAAGGTCACGCGGACATTCAAGGGAACACGAGCGCATCTCTGAAAGACGGAGTGAAAGGTCACGCGAACGTGAAAGGACACGGGATTACCGCAGCGAAAGGTCACGCGAACGTTCCCGTGATCGCGATTACCGTGGCGGAAGAGGATGGGTGCGCCATGGAAACGAGATAACCGAGACAAGTATTCAGCGGAAAATCGATACGGCAAAGATCTTGGCCGCGACAAGAGGACGTGAAGAGCAACGGCGTGCGGAGACTTACCGTACAGAGCCTGAAAAGAAAGGTCATCAGGTGCCGTTGGAAGTTGGCTTCCGTAACCGTAATGTTAGGATGTCAACACCTGAGAGGTCGTGGGATAAAAGGCGCGAACACACGCGAAATCGAACGCCAGACCCACAGGATAAACGATGGCAGGAAAGAGCCAGGTATTATGCGGGTTTCGAATCTGGCGCGAGCAAAAGGTCATCGAGCGCAGAACGGGAAGATTCACCCCCGAAGTATCAGCGGATGGAATCGACAGTCCATGTAGTGAATCCCATCGTGAGTGCGGTACAGGAAGATGACACGATGGAAGGGCCCGGCTCAGTCGCAGAGGCGCCTGCGGCGCAAGAAGATGATATGATGGAAGGGCTCGGTTCAGCCGCAGAAGCGTCCCAAGATAACGTGGTACACCGAAGAAATGTGGTCCTGGACAGTGACCCCCAACCATCCACATCGACGGGTATTGAACCGCCGCAGAGCAGACGACGCGAACAAGAAAGTCTGCGCGAACCGGATGAACGTCGCGAAGTCGGACGGCGAACGACTTCCAGATTCAATAATCGACACCCCGACACAATCGACATGATATACGAAATGCGCGACACCGACGAACAAAAGACGGAAATTTGCCGATACATGGGAATTGACGATGATTCGGCCGATGCGAATAAGATCCACACAATTTTGAATCAGCTGCGTCATTTTTTACTCGATTCGGGCTATGCGAAAGAAATTAAAGAGGGAGTGGAACAAGGGATTTTCCGTCAATTATACATTCCCCGCGACTCAGCAAGGGATTGTTACCTCATTATCCGACGAAACGGACTACATAGCCTATTGGATTTGAATTTGTTGGACGTGCCACTGGACACGACTGACCCAATCGGGATGACACAATTCTGTTACAGAGATTATCCCGAACGACAAGAATATGTCGCTCAGTTTGTATTACGATACGTGAATCCAGCCTTCAAGTTGCTTGCAGCAAGAGCATCGATCGGGTTACAAGTGGATCCTAAAGATCATGCCGCAAGAAGGATGGGGCAAAAGGTTTTCGCTGCAAGATTGGCACATTATAAGACCCATAACCAATTGGTGTCCAATACCATGAAGGACGACATCCCACTACTCTTCCGACCTCACGTGGCGAAATTGGGCGAACCCATGGAACATGTTGGAATAGCCCATACGGCAAGAAAGGCGTTGAAAAAAGTGCAAGATACGAATGGAAAAAGGCAATCTTACACAACGCCATGCCTCCCAGGTAGAAGAGAGGGTAAATAAGATCAAAGACACCATGGGAAGTGACTACGTCGACCCCTTCGACGGAGTTGAAATGTATATCGACGAATTCCTTGTGAAGAAAAGCGATCGGCGCCCAGAACGCGCCCCTAACCAGCTTGGACGACGTGGTCTACGGAACCAGCAGCTCCGGGAAAATCTCGCCGATGTACAGCGTCGACTAGCGGATGACCCCGACAATCGAAGACTGCGATTGGAAGAAAATGACGCACGCCATCGGGTAGAGGCGGTTAAACGCAGTCGCCAAGGGAAAGGTCGCGGTCAGCGAGAAGTTGACCCGGAAAAGGTCATGGCAGTTGATTCCACAGAACCAGTTGACCGAACGTCTGACCGTAACCAACCAGAAAGTTCTAAGAAGCGCCCGCCAAGAGATGGCGAGGAGGACGATTCAAATGAAATGGAATAGTGTTGATCGTTAGGATCACACTATTAAAAGGGCGTCTACGGCAATTGTCGGTACGTCACAAGAATGAGAAATGGTGTTGTATAAAGGCGACGTGACATATTAACATTAACTGCATTTGTGTATTTGTTGTTTTCAGCGTTTATAGCACAGAACCGCAAAAGGATAAAGAAATCATGTGGAGCAGCGATTGGGGTTTAAATTGATTCGGTCTATAAAGCCGGCCCCAAGGGAGTTGCTACGGCAATCAGCCGGCTCTCCTCCTGAAGCGATTCAGTGTTATAAATTTGCAAGAGAAACTACGGTAATCAAGCCGGATCTCTTGAATACGAAAGTGGGCCACAAGCGGCGAAAAAGAGAAAGACAACAGGTGGAAATATTAATGAGGTAAATTTGATGCGGCAGTCAGCCGGCCTCATTAGAGTTGCTACGGTAAATTTTGCCGGCAATCTCTCCGAGCGACTCAGTGTTGAAAATCAACGAGAGAGATAGCGGTAACCAAGCCGGATCTCTCGTACCGAAGCTGGGCCACAAGCGGCGAACAAGAGTAAAAGAATTAATGTGGAAGCGTCATGGGGTAAATTTAATGCGGTAGTTAGCCGGCCCCATCGGAGATGTTACGGTAAACTCTGCCGGCACTCTGGCCGCTCGAGGCATATTGGAGTTGGATGTGCGACGGAAAGGTCAACTTAAAAGTTTTACCAGGGAGGCAAGCGAAGAAATGCTTGAAAGTCGGCAAAAATCGGCTAAGTTCCTCCATGACCTTTAATGGAAGTTTGAAGAAAAGTTGGATGACCCTCGGGATCATTACCGCCCAAGAGAGTCACCGTACCGGAATTCCAGTCGCATGACCTTTTGGGACCATTAACCCATAACGAGTCGCACATCTCAACGGATCATCTCAATAAAGGATGACCTTTATCAGGGAGGAAGCGAATTACGCTTGTCTACATGACGTCCCTCCATGACCTTTAACGGATCTCATTTGATACGCACCATATTCCAAAGATGAAGCAGTATTTCTAAGTCGTACTTGATACGCACCTGATTCTCAAAGCGGATTGTGATGTAAGTCGCACTACGGATGCGCAAAATTGCTCAAGCGAGCGGAATGGACCAAAGTGCGGGAAACGGTGGACAGGACCTGTGACCTTTACGAGTCAGAAATGGAGGATCCTAGTCTACATTTGATTAATACTTTTGTTGATCTTATAACTGTTGATCTGTTTTTGTATTAGAGTTGATATGGAATAGTATTTTGATACAGATCTCTTTATTTTCACATAGTGCATTTGGAATTGATGTGATAAATGGAATAAGAGAATTTGATGTTTTTGAGCACGCACAGACACCGGCAACCGTCTTTTCGTGGATTCGGGAGTGTGTCCAGCCTCAACGGAGCTCGGCATCCCCCCAGAGGCATGTGAGACGAGGCTCACTAGCGTTCACGCCCGTGGCGCTAGGCGCTACGCCTTCGGATTACGGTCTGTGACGTGTCTCGCTCTGATTGGCTAGCTTGAGTTGTGTTAGTGGGCGCGGCTTAGCACGTGCTGCACAGTGTTACACACTGTTGAATTGGTTCTACGATTTACGATCGAGCTGTGCCGATCACTTGTTGATTTCTGGTCTCCAGACTTTCAATATTATTAAAAGTCAGCTATTAGCGGTGCGACGTTTCGCGATTCCGCGTAGTTCGCTATACATATCGCATAGCTCACTCCACGGGATAGATTCCGTTTCTGTCTCCGTATCTGGATCACAGTTGGATCTAGCATTAGAGTGAATTAGTTCTGTGTATCCGGTTAAACGGCCTGTGAGGGGGAGTGGCCTCCCCGTACACCCGCAGTCGGGTAGCTGTTAGGTTGTTTTGCTTTCTTTTGCTGGTGTTTTCTCCATCTACCAGATCTTCAATCTGGTAGATTCTTTAGTTGCTTGATTTCGTCGTCTGAGCTGTATGCTTTTTCCTTTGGCCCCGCAGCAAGGTGCTGCGGTGGCCTTTGATGTGTAGTATGTGAGAGAGCTAAAGGTGCGAAGTGTGTTGGAGTTCAGTTTCCGTTTCTGTTCGCGCACAGGGGTGAACTAGCCGTTCATCCCCTGTCAGAGGCCTAAATGGCACCCTACAACTCGTTTATGACCGCCGTGGGAGTTGGCCGATGACTTATTGCCGATGACTTATCATTTATAACAATAATAAGGTTCGATTATCGACTGTCTCAACGCAGCACACGCCAACAATTCATGAATTTCTAATTACAATGTACAGTGCTACAAAAAGGTTACCAACCACTGCATTTGCCGGAGGGAAAACTTTAAGCCATGTATCAGTCATTACAAACATACCTAAGAAATAGTCTAAAAAGTGTTACAGAAGCTGTGAAATCCAAAGACAGCAGCTAATCCTGAAATCCGGAATACCATCAGAACGTCCGCAACAGGAAATTTATTACAAGTCAAACTATGAACCTGTTTCAGACGCGGCATTTGCCAGCTAAAGCTTGCTTTAGCCTTCGTGCCATCCGATAAGGGTGTGTATAGTCAAGCGATTCAACGTGGACACATCGAGTTCCCTCAAATCCACTGCATCCCAGCAATTTTCCGTGATACCAGCGCCGAAAGGGCAAAACCTGCAAACGACAGTGAACAAGTTAAGGCACTCTGTTTCCGTTGCATTTCATCGCTTACAGCCCAACCACGGGGTTCTGTGTTTGCACACATCATAAATTCATGTACTTACAGGTTGACAAATTTTCGGATGCCGATCCACTGATCAGGATACTCCAGCGTCCGCACCCAGCGTCCATGCAGCGCCCTGACCTTATCCGGTGTGCTCTCACTAACGGCCGGACAGTTGTCGTTAACGGCAGCTAGAAAGCGTCGACACTGCACCGTGGTGGTCTCGGTGCCGTGGAAACGCAAGAACGGAATGACCACATTCTAGCGGGCGTTCCCTGTATCATTCGAGTGCGACGGCTGGTTCCCCGGCCATGGAGAATTACTGCTGTAGAAGAGATACCTTACCACAGGCTGGATGGAAGTCGGATGGGAGACGGTATAGTTGAGTAGCACCAGCTCTTCACAGACGGTCATCAACACAGATAGCGCGCGGCTCCACACTGCCCGTAGAGATTTAGCAGCGGACCTCCTTCTTTCAGCGCGTCGTCGCATCCGTTTCTGGAGATTACTCTGGGCAGGCGAATGCGTTTGTGCGACAGCACACAGTTTATGGTCCAGATTATCCAAAGAAGCGATCGTTGATGCTGACCAACACAAATTGAACCGTGTTCAATAATGGCCAGTTTTCGCGTAGCCGCGGATACATGACGGTCCAGTATTGTGACGAGTCGGTATTCCAGTTCGCCGAGTTTAATTATGAAATCGCTATCGGCGGCAGTTCGCGCCGGAACATGAAGAACAACGTGCTGGTGAGCGGAGTAGTCCCGCAGAAGGAAACTCCATAGCGCGGTGACACTGAAGGCCAGTAAGACAAGGATCAGCAAGAAATAGAAATTTACTGTAAGCAAGGCTGAAAGCATCCATAGCTCTTGGAAACTTAGAGAGGAGACGGATGTACTAATGCAGCACTTAAATATGATGGTAAATATGCTCCGAAGTCGGTAGGAATACACGCCGATAGGGCCGCACTTCCAATCCGCGATTATCGTCTATGTTTAAGGTTTAAGGGAAAAGATAAAATATGAATAAAGTCGGTTACTGCAACTGACGTACCGGTTCAGTCGTAGCTGAGTAACAACATCTAAACAGAGCAGAATGCCCGCCAGGACCGGATGCGAAAGGTCACTGATGCACCAGTCTTCAGCATGGCTGCCTGCAATAACAGTCATACGGTTCGCTTGCAACTACGGGTGTTGAACGCTAAACATCGATTACGAGCCGAGTGCTTACCAAACTGAAAGATGGAATTATTAACGATCATACTATCGAACTGCACAGACTGTTGCTCGTCGAGATAAGCCTGGCAGGCTTCTCTCAGGGCACCTTCGTTCCAAAACATGCAGCGCCCGGCTGCGGCACCGTGCACCTCGGCGCAAATCAGCGGGACGCTGTTGAGGCCAACTCGCACGAAAACACGACAAACCGAGACAGACTGATCCCATCCAGCAATCCTCTTCGATTGGCAGCCGGCAGTGCACACATCACAACCACACGAAACTAACCGACGGGTACGCACCAGAAACCGAGGCAGGAACCACATCCCGCAGCAAATGTGCCTGCTCGAAATCAATGACATACTTCCGGTACACGAGTCCGCTAACACGGCCGCACAGGCTGGATTCTTCCTCCGGCAGAAATTCCGTCGCTTGTCTGATATGCACGAACCTGCTTGGTTCACGGTCTTCTAGACGGACCACGTAGAACGCTCTATGTACATGGTCAATGATGGTGGCTGGCCGGAATACCATTGGTTCGCCGTCAGCGGCTCGCACGGCCATCCAGAGGGAGACGCCATCATCTGGAGCATAGTCGAGGAAGGAATGCGGCCAGATGCGGCTGGAATAGATCCATTCGGCGTGGACGGTGCTGGCATCGAAATCAATGAAGAACCGATCGCCGTCAATATCCTGAACGTATCCCAGCCACCACTGGTCGTTGTCGCGCTGCACCAGCACCGTGTTCCCGTAGTTCACCTCCCGCGCACCCGAGTACAGCTGGCGATAGTACCGTGATGTTGGGATCATGGTCACTAGAAACCGACAGAGGCCTGGTTGACGCAATGTACTTGCTCCGCAAATAGGCTGATGAATGATATTCAAGCTTCAGACATTGAAGCTTGATACAGGCACCGCATATTGAATCTAATTGTTATTGGGATTACAATCTAATTGTTATTGGGCTCATTTGATATTATTGCCCCTGAATGGCAAATTTCCCGCCGTTCAATATGGAGGGTGGCTGCGGGACCTGAGTCTGGTAGACTGAAGTTCTCCAGAGGCTGTGTGGTGGCAGCTGTCCCGCAGACATCGAGCGACACACCAGTGGATTTCTCGTAAGTCCTCCGTGCTTTCGTAATTATTTGTCGAGCGATTACTGCCGCTATTCGTTTTTCGGGATCGAGCATGGCCACGGATACACAGCCGCAGTTAAGGCGCAAGAAAGATGGATCTCTGGATATGCGTTTCAAAACCTCCAGGGACCACGCGGCGACCCAGAATACCCAGAGCGCTCCCGCATTAACCCCCATTAGTTGCTTGAAAGAACTGCTGAACGGGCCACGTCCGAAGATATCTTCCAGAATCCCCAAAGCAGCGAAGCAACTATGTACGCAGGAGTTTTTAAAGCGCGTTCGACGCTGCATTCAGAAGAACGACACCGCCTCGTGGTGCGCCGTGCTCACTTTCTGCAGAAGTGCATTGTCATTGCCCGAATCAAAGGCTCTCCGCACTGATTCCCTGAGCAGTACCATAAAGCGCAACCTTCGGCTAATAGAGGAAAGTGAAGCTAGTGGCGTACTCGAACCGAATAACCCAGCTAAAACGGCAAAACCTCGACCATCAAAGCGTTCGGGTAAGAGCGACGATAAACAGCGTTTGCGTACACGGGTAGCGCAAATGTTCCAGAATGGCAGGACAAAAGATATCATAAAGTTCCTAGCTTCCGAGGAATCATTGGCAGAGATCAACGAGGAAACTATAGCTGCACTCAAGGAGAAACACCCACCGAGACCAGCCGATACTACGTTGCCAAATCCCAACCCCTCGGCAGCTGTACCACGGGTAACTCCAACCGAACTACTAGAGGCAGTATTCAGCATGCCAGCTGGTTCGGCAGGTGGTTTCATGGGAATGAAACCTCAGCATTTGAAAGATATGCTGAATCATCGCGATGCCGTTGAAAGTGAGCTGTGTCTGGCCTTAACGAACCTCATGGATATAGTAATTGGTGGAAAAGTACCAGAGGAAGTGCGCCCCTTCCTGTTCGGTGCCAATTTAGTGGCTTTGAAGAAGCCTTCTGGAGAAATCCGGCCCATAGCGGTGGGTGAAGTGTTGAGACGAGTGGCGTCAAAAATCATTAGTGCGCGATGCCAGGAAGAGATGGGTATGAAATTTCGACCTGTCCAGATGGGGTACGGGACGAAAGGCGGAGCTGAAGCAATAGTGCACGCAGCAAGAAGTTATCTGGAGGCAGACCACAAAGAATCGCGGGTGATGGTAAAGCTGGATTTTAAAAACGCGTTTAACATGATCAGCCGGAAAGCCGTGCTAGAGGCGGTGCAAGCGAAAATCCCAACGTATTTACCGTATTTTTATCAGGCTTATTCGCCTGTCTCCCATCTGGTGTGTCAGGATACAGTAATTTGATCCGAATAGGGCGTCCAACAAGGAGATCCGGCCGGACCATTGCTGTTTTGTCTCGCGATTCTTCCTCTTTTAAAAAGCCTTAAAAGTGAATTCAAAGGAGGATTTCTAGATGACATAACACTTGCCGGAACAAAAGCGGACGTGATGGCGGACATAAAAAAAATCGAAATCGAAGGGTTAGCTTTAGGTCTGGTACTGAACTATGGAAAGCGCGAAGCCTTCTTTTTTGGTGGAGATGAAGAACAGCGCGCAGCGGATAAACATAGTTTAGTTTGGGAATGGCCAGATATCGAAATTCTGGAATGTGAGAAGCTGTCGCTATTGGGTGC